TTGAAGTCTGCCTTCCTGGATCTTCTGCAGGAAGTGCTACAAGGGCTCCTAACTTTCAGCAAGCAAGGTTGTGTCATCTGCGTAACACAGGTTAAAATGAGTTTCCCTTCAATCCTGATGCCACATTTCTCCTCACAGAGTCCAGCTTCTCAAATAATTTGCTCAACATGTAGACTGAATAGGCCTGGAGAGAGAATACAACCCTGATGCACTTGCTTGATAATTTTAAGCCATGTAAAGTTTCCCTTGCTCTAGTCACACAGCAGTGTAGGTATTGGTTTTGCATGAGCACAATTCAGTGCTCTGGGATTCCTAGCCAGATAGGAAGACAGGAAAAAGGGGCAGACTTAAGAATTCAGCCGTAACTTGTTGTAATCTTACTTGTTACGAGCCATGAGTTAGGATGTGATTTATGGAAGAACTGAAAAGGTAAAATGTTAAAAAAGAGGTTTCTATTGGAAAAAAGAAAAACCATCAGAAAGCATAAAGGCCATTAAAGATGAGAGCCCTGGTGGGAGGAAAGGTTAAAGGTCAGTGCCGGGATGGCAGCCTTTCAGGTGTATGGAACCCTGGGGGCCACTGGGCCGACGGAGAAGATGGTCTCAGCTCCTCGTAGGTGCTGGGAACTCACAGGCTGGCTTGCCGAAATGAGGGAAATGTATACAGAAATTCTTTGGGAGATGCTTCCAAAGGGGATGTCATTCTGACAGTTTCATCTAAGAAACAGAAGATTAACTTTTTTTTAAATTTTTAAAAAAATTTTATTATTGTGTGTGTATGTGTGTACCGTCAAATTTGATCTGACTGGCACAGAAGGAGATTGCCCCTCCTTCTCCAGCAGAGCATCTGGTGGATTCGAACCACATATCTCTGGGATTGCAGTGCAGCTTCTTGCCACTAGGCCGCCAGAGCTCCAGAAGATTAACTCTTCAACGAGAAGTAAAACTGGCCCTTTTCAGTTCCTTCCTATCCACCTGAAAGCTAGCCAACAAATAAGGAAGCCCCACGAAGCACCGATGCCTCTGAACAGGGTTGTTGGCGGAGAGGACTAAACACACCATGAGCTGACAGAAAGAATGAACCAGTCAGTCTTAAACGTCATCTCACTTAGGGCAAGTGGTCAGGGGGAATGAATTCTTGGAGAGAGCCAGCATGCTGGGAAGGGTGCAGGGTCTCCAGAAGGGTTCTCAACACGATCAGTGGGCACAGCAACTGCCAAGTAGACTTGAGCGTGACAGGGACCAGGCTCTGCGGATGGGGAGGACAGGACAGGATAGAACAACGTCCAGATCGGTTGTGCACGGGGTCCCTGAGACAGACAGGTAACACTGGGACCTAACCACACAATCAGGGTCAGGAGAACAAACGAGAAAGCAGAACCTTTGGAAAACGGCCGAGGAAGGGAAACAGGAAGCTCTGGAAGGACAGAAAGACAGAATGAGAGAACACCGTAGGAATACAACGCCCGTGAGTGGTTCACGTGCTGGAGAGAGAAGGCTGCGCTATTCAATGTGGGTAGAAGGCGCTGTATTCTGTATTCTTTTTGTTTTGTTTTTTGCTTGGGTGTGTACCGTCGAAGTCAATCTGACTGGCACAGGAGGAGATTGTTCCTCCTGCTCCAGCAGAGCATCTGGTGGATTTGAACAGCACACCTTTGGGATTGCAGTGCGGCTTCTTGCCACTAGGCCACCAGAGCTCCCTAGAAGGCGCTGTACTCTGAGGAGAGCTAGGAGTTCTCTCAGTGGGGAGAGGCTAGGAAGGTGGAATTTTAAAGAGAAAAGGAAAACAAAATAAAGTAAATGTGGTGGGAAGAAAGGAAACACTTAAGAATTCTAGAAAGAACCAAAAATATAAAAAGGTAAAACACAACTACAATCCCAGAGGCGCACGGTTCGAATCCACCAGATGCTCTGCCGGGGAACGAGGGACAATCTCCTCCTGTACCAGTCAGATCTGATTTGACAGTACACATACACAAAAATAATTAAAAAAAAGGTAAAACAAATAAACGGATCAGATCTCAGAAAAGATAGGGTGTGTATTTCTCTTTAACTCCTAGAAAGAATAAGGTCTCACACAAGATGAGGCATGATACCTGGAAGTACTTTTCTTTTTTAAATTTTTATTTTATTATTTTTGTGTGAGTGTACCATCAAATCAGATCTGACTGGTACAGGAGGAGATTGTCCCTCCTTCCCCGGCAGAGCATCTGGTGGATTCGAACCATACACCTCTGGGATTGTAGTTGCAGCTCCTTACCACTAGGCCACCAGAGCTCCCCTGGAAGTACTTTTCTGTATCCTCAGATAACCCCCAGAAATGCCATGCCTTCCTGCACTTGAATATGACTTCCAGTCGTCACCCCTTTATTCACTCACCTGAAAAGATTTCACTGTGACTTTTATCTGACATAGTCCATGGCTGTTCTCGTTCCAACCTGGAGAGGGCAGCATCTGGCTCGCCACCTCGATACCCTGTTCACGAAAAATCACAGAATTTTAGACACACCAAATTGGCCTTAGTTTGGAGAAGGTGGCAGAATGTTGTATTTGTGGAAAATTAATTTTCAAATGTACAAAGTTGTTGGTTTTTTTCCCCTGAAAGGAGTAGAAAAGATACCCACTAATCTAAGACCAAGATAAGATTGAGAATGTGTGAATTCAGAGTCCCACAGACATAGAGACTCCACAGATTTCAGCAGCTGGGAGAGGGAAGGCCAATGTCAGGAGAGTGGTCCTCACCAATGGACGCCAGGTTTCTGTAGTTCTCTAACATCACGTCCTGGTGCAGGGCCTTCTGAGCTGGGTCCAGAAGCTCCCATTCTTCCCAACTGAAGTTCACAGTCACATCACTGAAGGTCAGTGCTTCCTGTCAGAATAAGAGGACCCTGTTTAATGAAGCATTTTACAGTTGATGATGCAATATGCAAGGTGAGGGAAGCTGTTTAGCTCATTTCCTCAAGGCAGGGTACTATATCTCCCATACCTACGCTACTTTCCTTTGATTTTTTTTTTTAGTATGTTAAGACGTATTGCGATGGGAAAGTCTGCTGTTAGGGACCTTTCCAAAGTTCTGAAGAGCAAAAGAGCAATGGTCTCTCCCTGGAGACTAAGGTGCGTCTGATACTCTCCCTGGAGACTAAGGTGCGTCTGATACAGGCCATGGTCTTTACAATCACTTGTTATGCATCAGAGAGTTGTACAGTGCCTAGGGAGGATAGAAGGAGAATTGATGCCTTTGAGCTGTGGTGCTGGAGAAGAGTATTGAATGTACCATGGACTGCTAGGAAAACAGATTCATCCTGGAAAGATTCATCCTGGAAAGGGTTAAACCAGGCTGACATACTCTGGACATGTTGTAAGGAGGAAGAGGTTCTTGGAGAAGGACATCATGCTTGGGAGGGTGGAGGGACAGCGCAGGAGGGGAAGGCCCTCTATGAGGTGGATTATTCACTGACTGGGGTAATCGGGATGGGGGTGTCAGAGGCAGTGTGATTGGCACAGGATAGAGCAGGATTTAGGGCTGTTGTACATAGGGTCACGTCGAGTCAACTCATAGTGACCCTACAAACGACAGATCTGAACCCTGTCGTAGCCTGTGCTGTCTTTCTCGTTCCTCAGCACATTGGAGGCCGTGGTTGCTGTCACTGAGTCGGTCCATCTCACTGAGCATCTTCTCCTCCTCTGCTCATCGTCCCATCCATGATGTCTCTTTCCAAGGAACAGCCCCTCCTCACAACATGCCCAGAGGATGTGAGATGAAGCTTCTCCATCCTTACCTCCAAGGAGCCCTCTGGCTGCGCTTTCTCTAAGACCTATTTAGTAATGCTTTTGGGAGTCCCTGTGATATTCACTTCTCTTCTCCAAGACCACAGCTCAAAGGCATCACTTCAGCAGATATATTTCCACCAAAGAGTCTCACCACGGGGCCAATTGGCAGCATCAACATGGATAGTGAAGAGACTGAGATAATTAACACTTTTAGTCTGCATGGCTCCACAGTCAACACTCTTGGTACCAGCAGTCAGGAAATCAAGAGACGAATTGCATTGGGAAAGTCAGCTGTGAGGGACCTCTGCAGAGTACTGAAGAGCAATGACAGCAAGCTGGAGACTAAGGTGCACCTGATCTGGGCCATAGTCATCGCAATTGTGTGCTATTCATTGGAGAGTTGGACAATGACTAGGGAGCACAGAAGGGGAACTGATGCCTTTGAGCTGTGGTGCTGGAGAAGAGTATTGAGAATACCATGGACTGCTAGGAGAACAAACAGGTTCATCCTCGAGAGAGTCAGATCAGGCTGCTCCTTGGAGGCAAGGATTCTGAAGCTCCGTCTGACATATTTTAGACATGTTACAAGGAAGGATCAGTCCTTGGAGAGGAATGTCATGCTTGGGAGGGTGGAGGGACAGTGCAGGAGAGGAAGACCCTCAATGAGGTGGATTGGTTCAGTGACTGGGGTAATGGGAGTGGGTGTGTCAGAGACAGTGAGATTGGCTCAGGTTAGAGCAGGATTTAGGGCTGTTGTACACAGGGTAGCTATGATTTGCAGGTGACTCGACGGCACATAACAACCACCACCACCACCACCATGTGATCTTACACCGCATGATGCTGAAGTCGCAGTCAAAGTTTACTCCCCTTCAGCTTGTGCCTGTTCCCTTTCTCACTAAGCTGGACGGATGTCCTAAGGTTCTACCATTCTACCAGGAAACAGAGGGAAGCGTGAATCACACAGAAAGTCACCTGCACCTTGACCATTTTGTGCTGTTCCTGGGACACGACCAGCAAATGAAAAAGGGCTTTCTTCGTGGTTACTCGATTCCCTCTCAGTTTCCGCTCAGAATTCCAGGGTGGCCCCGGAGGCAAAGTGACACCCGGCAAGTAAAACCAGATCCTGAAACGTCTGCATCCTTCTTTCAATCATCTTGCCGCAGCTGGTGCATCAGGGCCTGCAGGCTGAAGGGAAAAGTCAACGTGAGTGGAACCTTGTCTCTAGGCCAGATGTCACCCAAGGCCCCAGGACGGCTGACTGTCCCTTTCTTTGGTGCCCTAGAGCATTTTCTACCACTGGGAAATGAAATCAAAGATTGAGAGAATTTGCAGAGACAGGGATAAAATATCTTTTTTAAAAAAAAAATTTTTTATTATTATTTTTTGTGTGTGTGTCTGTGTACCGTCAGATCAGATCTGACTGGTACAGGAGGAGATTGTCCCTCCTTTCCCGGCAGAGCATCTGGTGGATTCAAACCGTGTGTCTCTGGGATTGCACTGCAGCTTCTTGCCACTAGGCCACCAGAACTCCCCTAGGGATAAAATATCTTAAAAAAAAAATAATGCCCCTCCTGTCCCAGTCAGATCCGATTTGTTGGTACACACACACAAAATAATAATAAAAAAAATTAAGATAAAAAAATAATGCCCATCAACAAACAAATGGCTAGAGAAGCTCTAGTATATCCACACTATGGAATACTACGCTGCACTGAAAAACAAGGAACTCATGAAATATGCAAAATGGGTGACCCTGGAGGACATTGTGCTGAGTGAAGTATCTCAGTCACAAAAGGACAAATATTGCATAGTGCCACTGTTGTAAAACGGGAATGACATCAGAGTTGAGGGAAGACAGAAAAGGAGGGGAGGAATGATGTGTACTGCATTGAAACAGATGAAGGAGACAACTGTTTAAAAGGGACATATGAATGGGTATTCTTGTCATTACAGATGTCCAGAGTAAAGGCTGAATAGTGGAGTGAAGCTGGGGGGAGGGATTGCATAACAATGAAAGAGTTTTTCTTTTTCTTTTCAAGGAGAAGAGTGAATGGGGGGGGGTGTTGGGCAGGGAGAAAAGTACAACAATGATTAACTAGAAACCCTAAGTCTCTGTAAACGTCCATTAAAATTAATCAAGAAAAATAATGCTTGGGCAAACAGATGCATGTATAGAAAATAACAAGGTTGATCCCTATCTTATAGAAAAAAAATCACTTTAGGGCCAATTATGACTTCTCAGCAAGGAACCTTGATACACTAGGGGTTAAGGAGATGCACTGCCAAGCCAAATAGAAGCAGTTCAAATTCAGGAGAAAGATATGCAATCTCCTCTCCTATAAAAGCACAGCCTCTGAAAATCCCCCTGGACAATCAGACATGAATGGGTTTCAACTCAACAGCATTTAACAACACGCTTCTCAATGGGAAGTGCAAATCAGCAAAGCTCTCACAAGATGACATTTACCCAAATCAAATAGATTCTAACTCATCCCAGTCCTCCTACAGGACAAAGCACAATTGTCTCATAAGGTATCCAATACTGTAATCTTTATGAAAGTAGACTGTCCCAGCTTTCTCAAAACTGCTGGCGAGTTTCCATAACCAAACTTTCGGAGAACAGCTGAAAGCAGTAGCCACTGTGCCGGGACCCACTCATAGCCGACCTTCCACAGCATTTCTGGGGCTGTAATTCCTTGGGGAGGAGATTGTCCCTCTTTTGAACCTCAGAGTGGTACGGCTACCCACATTGCCTGTCCTGTAGAGGCCAGTGCTCATTGCTGTCGAGTCTGCTGTGACTCATAATGACCCTATGAACAACAGATCTGAATTCTGCCCAATTCTGCCCTGTTCTGCCTTACCGTCTCAGAGGCACTGGAGTCCACTGTTTTGGTTGTTATTTTTCAGTTGCTTTTGAGCCCACTGGTAAGAGTCACCATGTCAGGCTACTTTGTTGAGGGTCTTCCTCTTTTGTGATGAGTATCCGCCTTTCCAAGAGTGTTGTCCTTCTCCAAGGACTGGCCCTGCCTACCATGCTCAAAGGATGCGAGGCAAAGATTCAACATCCTTGCCTCCACGGGGTGCCCTGGGAACACTGACTGCAAAAGAGATTTGTTTGTTCTTCTGGCAGCCCCATGGCGTGTTCACTACGCTTCTCCAACACCACAAGCCAAAGGCATCAATTATTCTTATTTTCCTTAGTCAGTGTCCAACTTTTGGATACATAACAAGTACTTGAGAAGACCATGACATGGTTATTGATATGTATACAAGCTAAAGTTATACATTTCCCCCCATGTTCATTCACTTTTTTCCTTAAAGTTTATCGTAGGGTTGTAGTTGAGAATACATACAACAAAACAACCCCTGTTGTAGACCGAGGATAAAGTATATTAGTAAGTAATAATAACAAGATAGAACACCAAGAAGGTATCAGTAAACAGAGGTGAAGCAGGAGACGAACAGTTCTAGAACAACTGAAGTGCCGATCTCAGCTCCCCTGTGCCTTTATTGAAAATTGCCAGGGAGCAAATCACAAAGAGAATTCCCTGCAAATGAAGCCAAGCTCTTTCTATTGAAAACCTTATGCTTGACTCAGGAGGGAGGGGTTAGCAAATACAAGACAAGAATCGTGTAAACACCTAAGGTTTCCTGTGGGAAGCCAAATTTCATGCTAAATATTTGTAAAAAACAGAATGCTACTTCAGGTTATGAGGGAGGCTGGTACCAGCTGGAATTCACCCTGAAGCACTGAGGCAATCCTTAAATGTTTACAGGGGTAGGCACCAAGGCAATCCTTAAACCTTAACACTAGCAATGAGGATTGCAAATGAGCCCACAGGGGCTTACTAATCATTTGGAATAAGAGTCACTTTGCCAAAGGCATGAAACAAAACAGAGACTTTGTTAGCATAGTAGAAACTGTATATGTACGTGGAGCGTTGCCAGAAAGTCTCTGACTCAATGCAACCTTAGAAAACACTTTGGGGAAAGATGCTGTCAATGACCTCTCCAAAGTGCCAAAGAGCCAGGATATCAGTTTAAAGACTAAGGTGTGTGTGTCTGATCCAAGCCATTGTATTTTCCAGTGGCTTTCAATGCATCTGAAAGAGAGTAAATATGGAGGACCAAAGAAGAATCAATGCCTTCGAATTGTAGTTTCGGGGAAGAGTACTGAATAACCACCCCACAGGCTTCCAAAAAAAAAAAATTCATCTGCCTTGGAGTGCTCCTTATGCAAGAATGGTGAAGGTTTTTTACTTGTTTATCATGCATGGTTTTTTACATTTTAATTGTAAGAATGGTGAAGTTCTGTCTCACATAGTTTATCTCACACGTTGTCAAGAGTGGCCAGTCCTTGGAAAACGACATCATGGTGGGAAAGGCAGAGGGTCAAAGAATGATAGGAAGACCCAGAACAAGATGGATTGACCAAGTGACCACAACGGGCTTGAGTCTATCAGAGATGGTGCGGATGGCAGCGGTTAGAGCAAGGTTCAGATCTCTTGTTCACAGTCGCTGGGAATCGGAGGAGACTCCATGACAGCCAGCTAACAACACCATCACCTCCTAATACCGTTCTAGAAAGAAATACATTTTCTCCTTAAGAATCCTGAAACAGAGTGAAATGAACACTTAATACTACCCTAAACGAAAAAGAACTCTCTTTATAACTAATGGAAACAAAAACATCTCTGCAGGAATAGAATAATTTTAATAGTATCCTGAAGGAGATGGGGAGTTTTTCTGGGTCCAGCAGAATTCTAAAAACTAAAATGCCTGTTGTCCTTCCCCATGTGTTCCTGTCATCCGTTCCTGAAGTTAAAGACCTTAAATCACAACCTGTCAACGGCACCAAGGCACCAATTTTCTCTAGAAGGATGATAAGACCAGATCAATTAATTTAGGACCTGGCCACCGACCTGGGCACCTGGACAAAGGAAAACCTCCCTAAAAACCCGTCACAGATATGCATCTAGCACAAATGACTGCGAAAGCTCTTTCATATAGTGTGTTATCAAATAAATGTTAATGATATTTTTTTTTACATGTAAAAATACAACTTTTATTCTAAGACATCTCCCTTTAATGAAGTAGGGTCTTGTTTGGAAAAGCAGTCCCAGTGCCTGAGTGACCAATATTCCTAAGCCAAGGCAATAGGAGAGGCCAGCAAAATGTTAATGATATTAACAACAACAAAACCTGTCACACTGCACTGCCCTGATCCTCCCCTATATAAACCTCTTCAGTGTTCAAGGCTTCAAGACAGATCTGAGAGGCTCATAGCCCCTGCCTGCTTGGTGTCCTTTTCCCATACGGATCCTGTTTGCTAGCTGGGGTTTGGGGATTTTCTTAATTTCCAGAGGGAGGCGGCAGAATCGTGTTTCTCTGGAACAACATCTTTCCCCCCACCCCCCTACTGCAATATTTAATATCTGTCTTACGCAGAATTGAAATTTGCATTTAAAGGCACAGACGAAAGGAAAAGCAGTCATCAGATCAGGAATACATACACAGACAAAGGAAGCTGGGAGGTAACAACGTCTTGATTGCGTTAGCTGCATGAAGGCAGGCTGGATCCACGCGTGGGCACCTGCTGTTCCCTCTTCTGTCTCGGACCAGGTTCCAACCTCCACTCAATCCCTCGCCAGCCAGCGATCCAGGGCTCCCAGACCCTCCAATTCATAATCAATCGTCTCTAGATCACACACATCGCCCCATCCCCTTTATTAAGGCGAAACCTTAGACCAAGAGAGATGTCCACACTCGGCCTCCAAGTTCACTGAACATCAAGCCAGAATGTGACCTCGCAGTCGTCAGCAATACCACCACCTCCACCCCTTTAAAAGCACAGCGATGAGCAAAGGACCCCCGTTAGACAGGACAGCCCTAAATGCAGGACAAAGGTGACCAGCCCAACCAGGTCTGACCCCCGCGCTCGCGCTCGCTCTCAGCATCTTCCCGCGTCCTCATTACTCCCTCGCAGTGTCCCAGCGAGGAAACCCACAGTAACTTGACTTATTCCCCAAACACCCCAAGTGCAGAGATTTCGCACTTACTTCCATAAACTTCTTCCACTTGGGGACCGTCGGGGCCCGAGTCCGGTCGGCCTACGGAAGCCTTCAATAGTCAAGAAGGTCAGGTGACGGGACTGACTACATTGCCGTACGGAGCAATGGCTGCGCCCATGCACGCGTCACAATGGGGGCGGCCATGGTTGAATGTCAGCCGTACAGAAGGCAGCTCAGCCTGGGCATCTCTTTGCGGTTCAGTAGCCAGAGGCAGAAGGGACTGCAAGTGTCCACTTCTCTGACCTATATGTATTGGCTGAAGCTCTATTTTTTTTAATAGAGTTGGACAATGACTAGGGATGATAGAAGGAGAATTGATGCCTTTGAGCTGTGGTGCTGGAGAAGAGTATTGAGGGTACCATGGACTGCTAAGAAAACAGATTCATCCTAGAGAGGGTTAAACCAGGCTGCTCCTTGGAGGCAAGTATTCTGAGGCTCCATCTGACATACTTTGGACATGTTGTAAGGAGAGACCGGTCCTTGGAGAGGGACATCATGCTTGGTAGGGTGGAGGGACAGCACAGGAGGGGAAGGCCCTCTATGAGGTGCATTGATTCAGTGACTGGGATTATGGGGGTAGGTGTGTCGGAGGCAGTGGGGTTGGCACAGGATAGAGCAGGGTTTAGGGCTGTTTAGGGTCGCTATGAGTCGCAAGCAACTCTACGGCACATAACAACAACAATGTATTAACCTGGAGAAAGGTTGAAAGACACGCAAGTGTTGAGGACTTTCGTTCATAGGGCCGCTATGAGTAGCCTACAACTTGAGGGCACTTTATGACATAGAGAGAGATCAGTTTTCCTAGTGGACCAAAAATGATGCTACCAAGCCAAAGGTGGGTGACTCTAATCCACGGCCCTCACGCCTGTTTTTCATTGTTTTGGTGAAACATTCTTCTAGGTCTTATAGCCCTGGTGTGTCCACTTGTTGTACAGAGGTAACTTGTGGTTGCTGTGAAGCTGAACACTGTGACGCTGATGTGTCAAATGTGAGAATGGTTACCCATGATAAACAGTGTTGGGTGGAGCTCCCCAAATTAAAACAAGCTTGGAAGCAGGAGTGGCATCCACTTCCATAGATTGTTAACTCCAGAAAAGGATGAAAGGCACGTAAGTGTCAAGGACTTTTGTTCATAGGGTCACTATGAGTTGCCTACGACTCAACAGCACTTAATAACAACAACAGTATGGAAGATATGTATCTTTTTTGTTTTTGTTTTGTATTGAAATTTTAGTGGAAGTTTATAGAGACTTTAGATTTCCATTCATTCATTGTTGCACATTTTCCTCCCTGCTCACTCCCCAGTTGGTTTTTCTTTAATAAGTCAAAAAACAAAAAACAAAAAAACTCACAAAAACAACCCAACAAACCAAACCAAAAAGCTTTCATTATACAATCCCCCGCAGTAGATTCCCCCAAGAAGCTCTTGTCATGACAATAATACCTAATCATATATCTCTTTTAAACAGTTCTCACTCTCATCTGTTTCAATGCAGTATATATTACTTACCCCTCTTTTCTTAGATTCCCGCCAACTCTGATAACAGTCCCATTTTATAACAGTGGCATTATGCAGTATTTGTCCCATTGTGACTGAGATATTTCACTAAGTATAATGTCCTCCAGGGTCATCCATTTTGTATAATATTTCATGAGTTCATTGTGTTCCAGTGTAGCATAGTATTCCATTGTGTGAATATAACACAGCTTCTCTAGCCACTCATTAGTTGATGGTCACTTGGGTTGTTTCCAAAGCTGCAGTGAACATGGGTGTGCATATATCTGCTTGGGTGGCAGTTATGGTTTCTTTAGGGTTGAAACGCCAACTTAAAAAAAAAAACTGCCTCCAAATTTACTTCAACAAGTTGAGAAAAAATATTATTTTTTCTTTTTTATGAATTTTTAAATTTTTTATGAAAAGAAATTTTATTTTACTAGAGTTTGGTAGAGCTATTGATTTCGGGAGATTTAACTCTTTCTTTTTTTCACCCCTCCCCTGGGGGATGTAAATCTTAACTAGAAGAGACTGTATCTTCTTCCCATGAAGCCTCTGATAGATTTGACCTTCCAGAAACGTTCAGCCTCTTAGCTGGATGCCTGTCACACTACAGTGGACAGCAGCACCAGATCTCCTTCTGGAAGCCCTAGTGAAATGCAATCACATCTTACTTGCATTTACTATATTTCTTTTTTTTTAATTTTATGATTTTATTTTTGTGTGTGTGTGTGTGTGTGTGTGTGTGTGTGTGT